AAGCCATCCAATAAATCACAACTTATTTGGTTATGCGTAATCGTCATTTATTGTAGTTTGTATTTGCCAAATGCAATAATTTCCATTTATTTTTAGCGCTGACCAGAACATTACCTACCGTTTACGTCGGTTCATTTATAAACCTGGGAGGGTAGTCTACACACATTTCACCATTGTGCAGTGTTTTAAACTGCTCCTAATCTGAGTGAAATATTCTCCACTTTCAAGAATTGAACTTTTAAAATAAGCAAGCCCTTCTCTCAAACCAAATTTTCGACTAATAATTATAATGGGCGTGATAAATCTGTGTCAAAGAAATGTTCTTTTCAGCGCGTACAGACAAAAGTGTCCCTTTTTACGGTTTTCCGCACATAAATTTTTGTAGACTTTTTTCTGAAACTGAAGGTCGTACGAACTTTAAAACAATAATTATTGTAATTCGGTTAAATTGTCTAAAAAAGAGCAATACTCAGGTTGCATTCAGGAGCATTCGTAATTATTACGCGACAGTGCAAGGCAATGGAAGCTTTATACCTAAGGGAGCCGATCCTGTCTGTCCGTCTGTGAACCAGATAACTGCCAAACGCTTGGGCCGAATCGGTTTCAACTTAGCACAGTTGACCTATATGCCACATGCGCCAAGCTTATAATTGAAAATGGGTCAAATCCAATGACCCCGTAGAGTGACACCGAGGTGCTTTACCTCTTTTTTAGATGCGCTTTAGGGGTTTATTTATATCATGTAACCAAATTTGGTAATGTAGGTAATTGTGCCTATGAATGCTTGAAGCAAACCTGTGGTATATCATCGTTATCCAAGTTGATCACCCAATGAATGTTCACAATAATTTTCACCTTTAGATTTAATCCGTTGAAATGCAAATTCTGACTAATATTTTATGCAATGCACATGCTTTCTTTTAAAGTTACATACTTCAATAGTGAATACTGAACACGCATTTCGTTCGATTTCACCAGTTAGCTGTTAATCTGGCTTTAATCTAATACAAAATTTTTTTTTTTTTTTTTTTTTTTTTTTTACAAGTTAAGCATTTTTATTAATAAATTTCATGAAAAGAATTACTAAAAAAAGGTAAAGTTCCTAAAACACATTCGGCGTTGCCTTTTTGAATTTCTATACCTATCCGTTGGTAAATAAACTGGGTTGAGCGGGACTCTCCTGTTTTTTGCCTGAGTCTTTTACCAATTGCCGCTGTCATCATTTTGGCTTCATTTCCCCACGGACCCATGGTTTCTACAGCGAATCCGTTAAAAATAAATGTAGGTTCTAAAGCAGCGTAAGTATTTTTCTTTCTGCGTTCAGCTAAAGCGGCTGCAGAACCTGCTTTCTTCACCGAGGAGAAGAGATATGAAGGACATAAGGTATCAACACAAGTAAAGTCCCATGCCAGACATCTTCCTTCCATCCAAGGTGTTAAAGTTCTCCCATCGGGTCGTTTTTTATCAATTCCAAAAAGATGAGGAGGTTCTAAGATGACTGAATAACCAGCCTCATGGAATGCTCTTTTCTGACATTCTAAGATGTTTCGATGGCGACTGTACTTTCCTGTGTTCTTCTGACAAGATAAACCATGATGCCCAAACTTATCCACATTGGCACCACATTTACAAATATGAGGAGTACAAACTGTAGCACCTAAGCGTAAAGCAACACTTATCTGCAAAACAGAATCTTCAAGATGTGTGGAGATTTGCCTTGCAGGAAGAGCTTGTAACCAAGCGCCTGACTCTTTTTCTTTCAGTGCTAACAGCCTTGCTTGGTGTACTGGATCATTGACGAATTTATTGAACAATTGATCGAATAACTTTTCAACCAAAGGAGTGTCCCAAAATTTTTGGATGTGACGAATTTCTTCAACAGGTTCTTGAGATTCAGCAAGTATCTTCCATTGGTTAATTGTATCAGAAATCCATTCTGCATCATTGAAATCAATAATCTGAGAAACGACAGGAAGCACGTAAAAGATCGAAGCCAAATAGGCTGGAAGAGCTAATCTTTCCGTACTTCTGACTCCCAAACCACTATTATTAACAGGCAGACTGGACTGTAACGATACTGTATCAGTCATTTCAATATTACAAACAGATCCAATAGCTTTTATAAATTCATTATCAAGAGCAGCTAGGCAGTCAGTAACAAGGAATGCAGGAGATGTACGTAAAACGTACAACAGCTTTGGTACAGCTAGACAATTCTTGAGTAAAAATAGTCCATGATGAGCTGATATTAATTTTAAACGAGTCGACAAAATTTTGAAATTTTCTAATTTGGCCATAAGACAAGTCTTTATAGAGGATGTATTCAGAGGAGATCCCAATAACATAAAGGATTTCAGATCTGGAAACTGAATACCTGGAGCTGCACGAAGGATACGAGAAAAAACCTCCTGTTTCTGTTCTTCGGATCCGCCTGTACAAAAAGCTTCACATTTTGCTACATTTAGATGCAGTCCTAATTCAATAGTTGAATTTTTGATGGATTAGAGATCATCTAAAACTGTGTCAAATTCACCACCTAAAGTCCAATCGTCAAGGTAGCCAACTTTAAAAGGAGATTTCAGGTTTTCAGTTTATCCAAGCACATTAGACAAAATAACAAAGGTCCTAACGGGTCACCTTGTTGTACTCCACAAGCTGATAAAATGACATTCTTGCCGTATGATAACGAAGATGGAAATCCATAGGCTTGATGTATAAATTTGTAGTATGCTGGGAAAAGGTTCATCCAAGCAGAAAGAACTTTGTCACGACGAACCATATTAAAGGCATTAGTAAAATCCAATTTCAGTAAAACCTTGCAAGAGTCAGAATTAACTTCAATGAATCTTCTAGCACCATGAACAACTGCTTCTGCACCTCCCTTAGTTCCAAAACCCAATTGGTAAGGTCTACAAAACTCTCCAGCTCTCTGATGTACACGGGAACAGATGATTTTCGCAACTAAACGCCGTAGAGTCATTCCAACGGCAATAGGCCGTACTCCTCCATCCTTTTTATTCAGAGCTATCAGTGAAGCTCCAAAGAAAATATGACGGAAGAATTCAGGTATTTCCCCTCGTACTATCAAATTCACAAGTCGTGTTAGTGATAATCCAAGCTGATATGACGGATGTTGAAGATCCAATGACTTTCCAAGCAAATCTTTAAAATGTTGTGGTCGAAAACCATCAATACTTCCAGCGGAATCGTGAGGAAAACTTGCTACAGCAGATAACAATTCTTTCAAAGTAATTTCCGGAAATGGTGGCAAATCATCTGGAATAGGCAAGAGATCAATATCAGGGGGAGACAGTGGATGTTTCATTTCCAGCATTCGAAGGGAATCCTCAGAGTAAGCAGCGATAGAGTCATCTGAACATAGAATACGTACAGCTCCGCTAATATTTCCAGCTTCAATTTTCGAAGTAACCCGACGACCTAAAAGATTATCGCCGTGTCCAAAAACTCTGTTTGCAGATTTACCCTCTCCAAAAAGATCTGATGTATCACTTAAATTAGAAAGATTCTTGAGGTTTCGTTTAATCACAGTAGTAAGAGAAGTTTTTCGGTCAGTTTTTTTTTATCCAGGTAATTTGAAAACCTTATATGCAAACAAAGACAGTTGCTTCCAACTTTCAAAAGAGTTTTTATCAATGCAATTATTGATAGTGTCGGACAAAGAATCAGCAATAAGTTCACAGAGAGACCGTGGAATCCTTTTTATCAGTGTAAATGAATGTTTTAGTGTCTGCAAAGTAGAAAGCAGATTATCGTGATTAATGACATCTGGAGTTGTCCTATCATTTTGAACCGTCTGATTTTTTTTTGTCAGAAGAAGCTTCTTACATTTAACTGAGTTAAAGTGTCTTTTCAAACCATGTTTCGTCATGCACAAATGATTGCATTGTGAGCAGCGAAATCCAACATCAGAGTCATAAATCTGATCTGATGTTTGTTGTAAATTGACGTCGGGATTTTCGTGTGGCTCTGAATTAATTTCTGGATGACTTTTTCCTAAATGAATATTGAATCCTCTTTGCGATTGAAAAATTCTGTCACATTCATTACATTTATAACTTTGACAAGCACTGGTGTCAAACAAAATATTGTCTTCTTTGTCCAAATAATTGTTTTTAGAAGGCCCAGCATCAAGCAAATCTTGTGAACAGATATTGAAGTTCTTAATTGAGGATGTAGTAGACGGATATGTATATTTTCTTGTATATTTACTTGTAAATCCAACTTTTTCTTCAGAAGAAAAAACACTGTCAGTATCTGACATTTTAAATTTTTTTGATATACTCAAAAGTAGCCAGCTCAAGTAGATTTAAAAGCAACTCCACTTCTTTTTCATTTGCGAAAAATAAAATCCCGAAGTCTGTTATATAAAGTACATGAAATACTTTGTCAATTAGCGGGCCATTCTTCAGTCTAGTAAGTATCTGAAGGTCCTGGATATGGTAATCAAAAGCTTCGATTTCGATGGAGCCGTCGGTGGCCGCCGTTGACGGTCGCCAAGGAAACCAGAAATAGACTGAAGTTGTATTTCGAGATGAATGCTGCTAATTGATCAAGCCCCTGGGCGGTTTCTCCAATGAGTGCGTTCGATAGGACTAAATAAATTTATTTATATGGTATGGTTTACAATCGTAAGGAAAAACTTCCGTAATTTTTGGTAACGTGCAAACTGTCAAACAATTATAAGGAAGAACTGGTTTAGTGTTAAAAAAATCTTCTGCAATTTACTTGTGAACTCAAGTATAGAATTAATGATCTGGTACCTACATTTGAAATTAAAATACGAATACAAATAAGAGGTTAGTAGAAACATGCATTTACGTAAGTTAAGCCCATTACTTTCCTTGCTCCTTGCGATCTATTTTCTTTGCCAATCGAAGATAACGCGACCTCTGACATTCACACGAACACGTGTCGTGTAACAATGTTGTGTAACCTCTATTTCTGTCAATTTTATCACCCGATCTACCACGTTTGTTGGCGGAAGGTTTCTAAAAGATTAAGCGAGATACCTACCTTTTATACGATTTATTTTACTCGCTCATCTGGTTCCATTTGTCATGTCCGTTGTAAGTAACTTACCTACTATACTGTACCGATCCATTTCACAAAACTTCTGCAGTAGTCTCTTACTACAAACGTTGTTACACAAGAAGTAATTATTACTACACGAGGCGAAGCCGAGTGGAGCAATAATCAAGAGGTTTGCGTATATCTTTTTTTTACAACTCCGACTAAAATGCCATTTTATAGTTATATTTATATTATATGGACTTGTACAGTAGTAAGAAGATTCCCTCAAGGTGGGGTGCTGTTAGCACTTCTGTAGAACATCCCATAGCCTGCCCTGCCGTCTTAACGATAATGGTTACCATACGTTGGGGTATGCTACTAACCCGTAGGTGTGAGAAGACACTTCGCAATCTTATGCAAAGGTCCCTCTGCCAAGGTTTTTTTTACTACTGCGAGGTAATAGTAATTTTTAGAATATTCTGAAAAAAAGCAGTTTCCATCCATTTCAGATCTTGCGGATCTCCTCACCACCTACCGTATCAGTTGTGACATAAAAATTTCCGTACCATTCCGCCAAGACTACTGCACCGCCTGTCGACTACTGCAGTTGATTTGTAAAGTAAAATGTAATAAAATTGCTAATAATTTATGTGACTACCAAAGTTTTTTTGTTTTATTCCCTGAATCCTAAATAGACGGTGACCCAGTTTTCCAAAGTTGCACGACTCTATGGTAGTTTCAGACGCCGCATAAATAAGGTGAAGTGTATTTTTTATTTGTGAATTAAATGTTTATATTTGTATGTAAGAGAAGTAGATATTTAGTATTTTTCCACTGTTCATTCAAGGGGGTTGTTTAACATACTAAAATAGAAGGTAAAAGGTAGTAAAATCTTAGGTACTAGTACCAAGTATTGAAGGCCTGCAGAGGAAGGCCGGAATGGATCGATTTATCTCAATTTTATTATGCCAATATTTTTGATTTTGTGTATTCGAAGTCGGAAAAGATGATTTTTTAAATTTGCATATTTCAAAGTCGACTTTACTAAGGAAATTGTATCACGTGAATAATGGGGGACGTCCCCAAATTAGTAATTTCCATAAACGAAATGGGGGCAAGATGCCAGGTCACGTGCGGTAGCATTATCCAAATGACCAGTTCTCGAAATACCTTAGAGCTTAGACCATACAGTACATGGACTGCTATTAGCCCTATGCTTTCAATACGAGATTGGTGGTCACAGATAGGGGGTATGTGAATTTATTTCATGGCGTGGTGACACCTCGACGGTTAGGCAACACACCTTAGAGAATAGCACGATGGAAAAGTACTAAACGTTCTGTATATAGCAATTGTGATAAGTCTTCGTTCTGCTCAGACGGCAGAAACAGGGATCCTTTGGGTATGAAGCTTAGCAGAAACTGGGCGTGAGTTACTATTTTTCGATCCCTCGAAAACGTGTAAGCGAGTTGTGACAGGTTCCACCCTGTATTTTTCAGAGTTGGCAACCACACAATTTTTAGGAGGGGAAAAGCTACCTGCGCCATCTAGAAAGCGCGAACGTGGGTTACGTTTGGCATCTTGTCTTGAATGGCGGTCGTGAAGCGAGCGTCCTCCATCAATGTTTGTTGTTATTTTGTGTTATATAATGCAGGTAGTAATTTTTACATTTCTTTATATCGTATTTGTGTTTTGTATGCCGCATTTTATATTTTTTGTGTGGTTCAATCTTTGTTTTTGAAATTTACTTGGTTTAACCGCAATGCAAAATGACATGTTTAATACCGTTATCCTATTGTTTGCAATCGTTTACGTTTTTGGTGTAATGTTTGCTTAATTTATGTTTATGTGTTGATTACTTGGTCTTGTCCGAGAAGTAACATTCATATAAGTTTTGATCATTTTTTTTTGTGGAAATTACCGAGTTGTTTGATGTATGTACTGACTTGTTGTTTGTAACTAACATTTTCTCCGTGAATGAAGCAGTCACGGGGTTGGTAAAAACTGTAATCAAAATTGAGCTACGACACCTAATTCCGTGATTGTCTGCGACATTCAACTGTAGGATCGAAACCCCGAACGAGGGGCTAAGCTACCTATCTTGCGAGGGCGAGATACCTGGGGGTTAAGTACACTACAGTTGGTTTATCAATATTTAGATTTTTTTTGTTTTTGTTTTGTTTTGAAAAGTGCAATTGCAGGTGGTAATGATTTTATTCTCTCTCGAACTATCAAATTTTAAAATTTGTGTCACAATTTGCTATTATTTTCATCTTATCTTGCATTGGGTTCTCATATCTGTTTGTTAAAGCATGGCGTGCTCCCAGCCATTGTTTTAATCATGTTTTGTTTGTTATGCTTTTATAATATTTTATTATGTATTTCTTTATGTTGTGACAAAGAACCCGTTTTCCGCCGAGAAATTATACCAGTTGTAGCCCTCACTCCGTAGATAAGCACCCAGTATAGGCAGAGGCGATCTAAATTTGAAGCGCTTTGTTACGAAGGTTGTGGCTGCGAAAATTTCTGTTTTAGGAATTGGAAATATAAGGTATAAATTAGTAGGTTAACTTGTAGAGCCGCCGATTAAAGAAAACAAGAGACCACAATTCATCGGGCCGTTTGAAACCGTTCCCATAGCAATAATTAAATTATTTGTACAGCCACCGAAAGCTCTCTTGGCAAGGAGGAAGGGAGAAAAAGCTAAAACCTGCAAGGTCGTGCAGTTTAACGAAGATATCAATGTGATAAAAAATTACGACCTCACATTCCAAGGAACAAAAGGGCATTACTTTACTACCGAATTTGGAGATTTCATTCCGACTATTTGGATAAGTATAATTAACCGTAATTGGTTGAATGGGTTGCAGCCACCGCCTCCGACTAAGTTGAGAATACATCCGTTAGGTGCGCTCTTAAAACACTTAAATTTTGACACCGGTCCCGTATTTTTAAGACGCCTGGAAAACACGTAATTAATTAAAAACAGTTTCAATTTGTTTGGATGTACCGAAGGTATAAGCGGACGGAGCGGGAATTCCAACTAGCCAAACTGTATGAAAGGTAAAGTCGTTTTTATCTTTTGCATTTTGTCAATTATATTTGTAAGTACCGTATTAATTTGATCATTTCCGTAAATTCATTTTTGCAATCGTACCGTATTTAGATCTTTTGCTTTTGCCGAAAATTCATGTTGCATTAGTACCGTTTTGTTTTGACGTTGAGCTTATCGCACCCTTTTTACCGCACCGTCTTTACAGCTTTTGTTTCTTCAATTGCTGCCAGTTAAACTCAAAAACTCAACTGTTTTAATATGGTGGCGATATCCCTTTCCGATGCCGTATCCACTTGCGTAGTTCCTGTTTAACATACTACAGCTGCAGCAATATTGCGTCATTTCTTTTTTTAGGTATTCTTTTGCACATTTTCCACACAAAATCAAATACAGAATCTTTTTTGTTGTTGTTCTTGTACATATGTTTACCTATTTCTTTTAGCTAAATCGAGAGCTAAATACTCCCGGCAACGATGCGCATCGAGCTCCAGTAGTAAAACTTTTTTTTAAATTTTTTGTGGTAAAAAATGTACGTACCGTTTTGATTCGGAAAATTGCAATAAGTATTTTCTTTAAATTAGGGTATCTAGTCCATATTGCAATATCCGTAATTTTTCCTTAATTTCTTTTATGTTATTTAAATTTGAAGATGCGTTAATACCGATTTATGTTAACTGCCACGGATTTGTTTAAATAATGGTTTGTTTTGAAATGAAAACATTGTTTATAAACAATCGTACAAAATAATTACTAATTTGCATTAGAAAGTAACTTCATATCCTCAAAGAACCGGTTTCATTTGTTTCTATCCTAAAATTGTTGCTATTCAGTACGAATTTCAATGAAACCTTTGATCAACTGTTTGGTATGTTGCCACCTTTAAACATTGAAAAAAGCGGGAAATATTAATCAAAGTCTATTAATGTTACAGCGTGTGCCCTGTCTCAACCTAGACTACTCTAGTACTCTCATTTATACTACGGTTGACACTAAAACTGATTTTTTGAGGAGTATCTTATCTTAGTAATAGCAGTGTGTAGGGAGCCGTGGAGTTAATTCGGACAAAAATGTTCTGACAGAACCTCGATTGAGCCGTAATTCGGATTTGTGGACCACTAATAAAGTACAAGCAGTTTGCAGAGAATTTTTGGGCGATCTAGATCATTGTTCAGAAAAATTGCTTAGGCAGGCACTAACGGGAGTAAATTTGAGGTTGGTTCGGGAAATTCTTCGCTTTGCCGTTACGCATAATGTTAAATGAGAAACCGTTCTTTTAGCATGCGGAAATTTTAGTGAATTAAATACTTTAAAAATTACTTTCTAAATTCTACACAAATTCCATTTTTTACACCTGCATGATTAATTAGGCTTAATAATTGGTCATCAATAGTTTTTCACAAAGGACGATTATCATAAAACACAAACTTTATTACCCCATAGAGATCTTATATTTGGAACGTTATTATTGTAGTTATCGTGCGTGTGGTCACTTAAAACTGTACTCGTTTTTGATGGGCAGAACACCATAAAATAAACATTCATGTCCTTTTTTCTCTTTACGGCATACGTTCAAAAGTAAAGGTGTTTTTCCGTACCTAATCGCGTGCAGAAATGTTACATTTTTGCAGCACTCATTTACATAAATTATAAACGCATCCTACTTGTTTCGTATTATTTAATTAATAATTAAATTTAACGTTGTGTGGAATTATTAAGGTGTAAAGACGTTCACCAATTAAAAAAACTCGAAAGTTTCTGGTGCAGAAGATTCTTCCATTTCAATGTGAAATATAATAATAATAATAATAATCTTTATTGTTGTTAACACAAAAATTTTTTGTTTACAAACGTCAATTCTGAAAAGGATAAAAAACAAGGGACAAAAACATTTAATGACTAACTTACATTGAAATCGGATGAGGACCATTGGCAATTCAAGAATTCGTGAATGTCGTAAAAACTTTGTTTTTTTAAAAATGCCTTAATTTTAGTTTTGAAAGTTTTGGATGGTAGCCTTACTACGTTGCGAGGTAATTTGTTCAAAATACGAGGACTGTAATAATTGGCCCCATATCTACTACATTGCAATCTCATATATTGATGCCTCACCAGTTCACCACCCCTGGTACGGTAATTATGGATTTGATTTTGTAGAGTATAGCAATGTGATTGTTGCTTAGCATACAGTAGACACGCATATATATACAAACATGGTAACGTGAGTATATCCAAAGAGCTGAATTTACTCCTGATATCTGCTCTGTAAGGGGTTCCTGTAATAGCGCGGAGAGCCCGGCGTTGAAGGCCAAATAATCGCTTCGAATGATGATAGTGTCCCCAACAAAAAATTGCGTAGTTAATGTGAGAATGTATTAGACCATAGTAAGCTAAAACCAGAGTTTTCACGCTTACCTGTCCATATAGCCTCCGTATAACATATATGTTACGGCTAATCTTAGTGGAAACGTAGTCAGCGTGAGAGGACCAGTTTAGTTTGGGATCTAAATAAACACCCAGGAATTTCACCGATTCAACACTGTTTGCATTTTCTATTTTATGCGAAAAAATTAACGTTT